AAGAAAAAAATTCTTTCAAAACTCTCATGAGATATGTAACAATGACATTTTTATGGCTAGATTATTAAGAATTTGATCAATATATGTTTATTGGACAAAATAATTATTTGTAATTAATTAAATTTAATATTTAATAATATGATAGAATGGGTTATTAATATTATAGATATTTTATGACTATAGTTTTTACAGGTCATTTTAACAAATATGGAAATATTTTATCAAGTATCAAATGAGTTGAATGAACATAATAAGTCATTTCTATTATATAAAATATCAAAATTAATTTGAACCCATTTACACTATTTCAATTTTAATCATAAAATAAAATAAAATGAATTATGTACATATAAGTTTAGCGTGTTATGTGGGTTAATGTTTAAATGTAAACAAAATAATATTTTAAGTTTNCAAAATTAATTTGAACCCATTTACACTATTTCAATTTTAATCATAAAATAAAATAAAATGAATTATGTACATATAAGTTTAGCGTGTTATGTGGGTTAATGTTTAAATGTAAACAAAATAATATTTTAAGTTTTTAAAATATAAAAATTTTAAAATTATAGTGTAATAATTTATTGAAATATTGTAATGTAACTGGATTAGGGAAAGAATGAGACTAATGTGAATGATTTAGCACAATTTATCTGATGGAATATTGTATTATAACTGAATTATAGAAAGAATGAAACTAACTACAAAGCTAATGACAGTGACATTGTTGAGTGGAGAAAACTTAGTCTTCTGTGCTTTCTCTTTTTGTGCACTAAAACAAGAGATCTTTTATGAGTTCACAAGTCGTTGTCATGTCTCGTTAATTTTTGGAACTAACCAATTAAATTTATATCAGCACTAAAATTAATGAACTAATCAGTTATTTATTATTTTTTAATATAAACATTAATAGTGATATAACTTTGCATAATAAAGATAATCATTGCTCTAACCCAAAGTGCAAGAAAAAAAAAATTTCAAAACTCTCATCAGATATGTAACAATGACATTTTATGGTTAAATTATTAAGAATTTGATCAACATATGTTTACTGGACAAAATAATTATTTAGAATTAATCATATTAATATTTAATAATAGGATAGAATGCGTTATTAATATTATAGACATTTTATGATTATAGTTTTTACAGGTCATTTTAACAAATATGGAAAATATTTTATCAAGTATCAAATGAGTTGAATGAACATTATAAGTCATTTCTATTATAGAAAATATCAAAATTAATTTGAACCAAATTACACTATTTCAATTTTAACCATTAAATAAAATAAAATGAATTTTGTACATATAAGTTTAGCGTGTTATGTGGGTTAATGTTTAAATATAAACAAAATGATATTATAATTTATAAAAATTATAATTTAATAATTTATTGAAATATTGTAATGTAACTGAATTAGAGAAAAAATGAGACTAATGTAAATGATTTAACACAATTTATCTGATGAAATATTGTATTGTAACTGAACTAAAGAAAGAATGATACTAACTACAAAACTAACGACAATGACATTGTTGAGGGAAGAAAACTTAGTCTTATGTGCTTTCTCTTTTTGTGCACTAAAACAAGAGATCGTTTATGAGTTCACAAGTCGTTGTCATGTCTCTTTAATTTTTGGAACTAACCAATTAAACTTATATTAACACTAAAATTAATGAACTAATCAATTATTTATTATTTATTAATATAAACATTAACCGTGATATAAATTTGCATAATAATGATAATCATTGCTCTAACCCAAAGTGCAAGAAAACAATTATTTCAAAACTCTCATCAGATATGTAACAGTGAAATTTGTATGGTTAGATTATTAATAATTTGATCAATATATGTTTATTGGACAAAATATTTATTTAGAATTAATTAATATTAATATTTAATAATATGATAGAATGGGTCATTAATATTATAGATATTTTATGATTATAGTTTTTACAGGTCATTTAAACAAATATGGAAAATATTTTATCAAGTACCAAATGAGTTGAATGAACATAATAAGTCATTTCTATTATATAAAATATGAAAATTAATTTGAACCAAATTACACTATTTCAGTTTTAATCATTAAATAAAATAAAATGAATTATGTACATACAATTTTAGCGTGTTATGTGGGTTAATGTTTAAATATAAACAAAATAATATTTTCAATTTTTTAAAAATATAATATTTATAAAAATTATAATTTAATAATTTATTGAAATATTGTAACTTAACTGAATTAGAGAAAGAATGAGACTAATGTGAATGATTTAACACAATTTATCTGATGGAATATTGTATTGTAACTGAATTAATGAAAGAATTAAACTAACTACAAAATTAACAAAAATGACACTGTTGAGGGGATAGAACTTAGTCTTCTGTGCTTTCTCTTTTCGTGCACTAAAACAAGAGATCTTTTATGAGTTCACAAGTCTTTGTCATGTCTCTTTAATTCATTTGTTGAGAAGTCGCATAAAACTCAATGTCAAAACTAGTTTGAAATTTGGCAAAATCATATATTAGGTTGAACATATTAATAAAGCTTTAAATTTTAGAATCGTGTTTTTAAATTTAAACAAACAGAACAATTAACAGCTATACTACAAAGAATAGATAAGTTGCAAAAATACATAACCTTAGGTAAGTAATTTTTGCCTTTCAATAACTAGCCCAAACTTGCAAGATCAATTAAGTCACATCCTCTATATCACATCAATTTCACAAATATTCTACTGATCCGTTTACTGTTTTACCAAAATTGAAATTGATAGCAATTTAACTATAATTTAGAAAATTTATCATCATTATAGTTCAAATTACACTAAACCGATATTGGAAAAAGAAAAATTTCCTCTAGAGTTATTCATACGAAGAAAAGAAGAAAACAAAAAAATAAAGATATTAAATATATTATGATTAAGTTATGATAAAATTGATAACTTTCTAAGGATGGTCCAATTTTTTTTTTTTAAAAAAAATCACACATGAAAGAAGTCATGACTTCTATTTTAATAGTATAGGCTAGATTTTGATCCGCGCTCTAAAAGCGCGGGATAAGTTTTTGGTTAATTTTTCTAATTCAGGAATTACTTCAATTTTGTTTTTTTTTTAATTTTAATATTTGAATTTTGACGCCTTTAATTAAAAGTAATTTATATTGTTGTCTTATAGTAATTCGGGTTGGATGTTTAAGTACCGTTACATTTTTAGGATTGGTTTAGTTTGAGTAATGTTAGATTGGGTTTGTATTTATATTTTTCGAGTTATTTTGGTTTAGGTGTTTAGGACCAATGTAAGAACCAAATATTTTCCGGACCAGTTCAATTCGAGTAATGTTGGATTCAATTTGCGTTTATATTCTTTTTGTAAAACCTGAAAAAACCGAATTATAAATAGTGTGAATTTGAGTCATGTTTAATCCAAAAATCTCAAAAAACATTGAAAAATCGAATTAACCCCAAAAATCCAAAATGTTAGTTTAAGTAATTAAGGGTTTTTAATATTATAACATATAAATTATATTATATATTATGATAATTAATATTTTTATTATATTTCAAATATTTGGATACTTGTTCGGTTATTAGTGCAGTTCTGATTTTAGTTTTGGTTTTCGGGTTTGAGAAATAGTAATTGTTTGGGCTTTTAAAAATTTTGGTATGGTTTGGGTTTTAATTTTTTGTTTCGGTTTGAGTTTGATTTTTTTATTTGGATAATATTTTCAAGACTAACTTTTTCAATAGTTTTCTTAGCTATGTTTTAATACCTATCTTACTAAAATATTCATTCTTATTTTTAACCTCAATTTTTTTTTATAATATCACTTTTGTGCTATTGTATTTTAAAGGATTTTCTCCTTCATTAAATATTTTTTATTTTTTGTAAATTGGTTCCAAAAAAATATTTTCCCCAAATATCAGACTTCACATGTCTAAACTATAGTTTCATAATTTGTTATATAAATGTAAATAGTAGTTGTCAAAAAAATAATGACACTATTGTAAATTCTTAGCAAATTAAACATTAGAACCTGTTTTGCATTTCTCAAAGTTCATTTTTAACTTTATAACTGAAAAGGTTAAACCATTTGTCATTCCATCTCTTAATGAAATATTTTGTTTATTTAATGAAAAACGATAGAAGCTGCAGTTGTAAAATATTAGCTGTAACCCGATCATTTATATAACAAATGATATAAGTATTATTCTTTTAATTTTTATGAACTTATATATATATATATATTAAGAAGTTTTAAGATCTTAATTTAACATTTTAATTTATAAATAAAATTAATGAATATTTACTTGTCATATAGAGGAGCATCCATTTGTCCTTGTTCATCCAAGTGTGGACCATTGAAGAACTCTCATGTTATTATTATTGAAAAGAAACATTACAAATATTGTTCTACAATTGAAAATTTTACATGTTTTATGATGATTCAAATATAACTTCACTATTCTAAACCATTTTATGGAATTCATGTTTAACAAAAACCCTTTCTATTATTCTGAATAAGTATTGTAAATCTTTTTCTCATTAACATGTATAATTTGCCCTATGTAAAACTTGGAACGATCAACTGAGTAAAATCATAAATAAACTGTTATCTAGACCACTAAACATTGGAGAAGAGTAATGTCAATGCCAAGTTCCAGAAAGAGAAATAGAGATATGTCTAACAAAAGAGAGAGCCTCTTTATGTATGATTAGCCTTCTGTAAAACGTAGAACTGAGTAAAATCATTATAAATAAACTGTTATTTAGACCACCACTAAGCAGACCTTTCGCAACATTGGAGACGAGAAATGCCAATCAAGAGCCTCTAGGATCTCCAGTATTATTCTTAGTTTATATTTTTTTTTCTTCCACAAACCAATACATAAAAGTAATCTTTTAATGAGCATAAGATATGGGACTGGCCTCTAATACAGAAGAACCATTATTTTTATGGAATTTATTTTTAGAAAGATAAAAAAAAACCTTTACGGTGCAGAAGAGTAAATGATACTTCTGACGGAAGCAAACGCATCTTCGCCGTTAAAACGCTCCACCACATCAACTCCCTTCTCCTTCAACAACTTCGCCACATCTCTATGCCTATCTATCAACGCACGTCCTCCAATCACCATCACCTTCCATCCCGACCGTTTGATTTTCTCCATATTATCCGGTCCAGCTCCCACCATCGGATTCGAATACTCATGATCTCGGTCAGCTCCGTCAGGGAGACAAAACTTCCAGTCTGTGACATCCACGTGTCCAAGCTCAGACGGGAACAGCTCTTCGCCGCTGAATAAGGGATAGTCTAAGATCAACCCACGGATACTTAACGGAGTTAGAACTTCCTCGGCGAATCTAAGCCCGACGTTGTAAGCCACGTTACCACCGGCTCCTATCCCCATGAGGAACACGTTAGAAAGATCGGCGCAAGATTTGAGCCACTCGTCTTCTTCCGAGTTGTTTTTTATCCACTCAACCGCCTCCACCCCGTCTTCGTAAGCCGCCGGGAGTTTGTTCTGAGGAGCTATCCGGTACGAAGGTGACGCAACGACCACGTTGATCTTAAGCGCGATAAGGATGCAGCTGGCGTTGAAGAGTGGACAGTCGACGCTGCCGGTGGTGAAACCTCCAGCGTGGAAGTAGACAACGAGAGGGAGTTTTTTAGATGCAACGCCGCCGTTTAGTGCGGTAGTGGGGACGTAGAGACGCATCCATGTGGACTTTGAGTGGTCCACGATAATGTCTTTGGATTCGACTGGCTGTGGCGGGAAGGGATTAGGTGAGGATTGAGATGATCCAGACATATCTATTGTCTTTTTTGGGTTCCAAGTCTTGTGTTGTGTATGAAACTGATACTTACCCTTGTCCCCCTTTTATAGTGCAAATTTATGCAATATTATACTAATTATTTATATACTAGTATTAAACACAATATTAGTATTTATTAATTAATCATACAATTAAGTTATATACCTTAAATCACACCTTCTTTTACATTATTGATTTAATACATATACCACATATTCTTCTTCTTCTTTTTTTTTACCTATTACAAAATAAACACGTTAAGTCGTTAACTACATGAAATTCATGTAAGGTGTCAGTTTGAGCATATATAATCGTATTAGTCCTTATTAAACAACAATAATGATAACAATTTTGAAACTATGCTAAATCTTTATTTTTAAAAGTTGTATGTTTTCTGTAAGAGGCCTAGGCACAAAATAATGTCCATGGCTACATCTGCATCAAATACAACATTACAATAGCNCGTTAACTACATGAAATTCATGTAAGGTGTCAGTTTGAGCATATATAATCGTATTAGTCCTTATTAAACAACAATAATGATAACAATTTTGAAACTATGCTAAATCTTTATTTTTAAAAGTTGTATGTTTTCTGTAAGAGGCCTAGGCACAAAATAATGTCCATGGCTACATCTGCATCAAATACAACATTACAATAGCATGCAAAATTTATGAACATATCTATTTTCACTTATGACTGATCTTGAACATGTACATTTACTTTCATGTAAATTTATTTTGTAAACAATAAAACTAAAACTGTTATGGAACTTGGAAACCCTTTCATAAGTTCTCTATATTAAGCAATTTTTACGTGATTAAACTTGTGCAAATAATCTCTAAAATTAAGAAACTAATCAATTATTTTTGGAACTAACCAATTCAATTTATATTAACACTAAAATTAATGAACTAATCAATTATTTATTAATATAAACATCAATAGTGATATAACTTTGCATAATAAAGATAATCATTGCTCTAACCCAAAGTGCAAGAAAACAATTCTTTCAAAGCTCTCATCAGATATGTAACAATGACATTTTTATGGTTAGATTATTAAGAATTAGATCAATATATGTTTATTGGACAAAATAATTATTTAAAATTAATTAATATTAATATTTAATAATATGATAGAATGGGTTATCAATATAACAGATATTTTATGATTATAGTTGTTACAGGTCATTTTAACAAATATGGAAAATATTTTATCAAGTATCAAATGAGTTGAATGAACATAATAAGTCATTTCTATTATAGAAAATATCAAAATTAATTTGAACCAAATTACACTATTTCAATTTTAACCATTAAATAAAATAAAATGAATTATGTACATATAAGTTCAGCGTGTTATGTGGGTTAATGTTTAAATATAAACAAAATGATATTATAATTTATAAAAATTATAATTTATTGAAATATTGTAATGTAACTGAATTAGAGAAATAATGAGACTATTGTGAATGATTTAACAAAATTTATCTGATGGAATATTGTATTGTAACTGAGTTAAAGAAAGAATGAAATTAACTACAAAACTAACGACAATGACATTGTTGAGGGGAGAAAACTTAGTCTTCTGTGCTTTCTGTTTTTGTGCACTAAAACAAGAGATTTTTTATGAGTTCACAAGTCGTTGTCATGTCTCTTTAATTTTTGGAACTAACCAATTAAATTTATATTAGCACTAAAATTAATGAACTAATCAGTTATTTATTATTTTTTAATATAAACATTAATAGTGATATAACTTTGCATAATAAAGATAATCATTGCTCTAACCCAAAGTGCAAGAAAACAAATTATTTCAAAACTCTCATCAGATATGTAACAATGACATTTTTATGGTTAGATTATTAAGAATTTGATCAATATATGTTTATTGGACAAAATAATTATTTGTAATTAATTAAATTTAATATTTAATAATATGATAGAATGGGTTATTAGTATTATAGATATTTTATGATTATAGTTTTTACATGTCATTTTAACAAATATGGAAAATATTTTATCAAGTATCAAATGAGTTGAATGAACATAATAAGTCATTTCTATTATATAAAATATAAAAATTAATTTGAACCCATTTACACTATTTCAATTTTAATCATAAAATAAAATAAAATGAATTATGTACATATAAGTTTAGCGTGTTATGTGGGTTAATGTTTAAATGTAAACAAAATAATATTTTAAGTTTTTAAAATATTAAATTTTAAAAATTATAGTTTAATAATTTATTGGATTAGGGAAAGAATGAGACTAATGTGAATGATTTAACACAATTTATCTGATGGAATATTGTATTGTAACTGAATTATAGAAAGAATGAAACTAACTACAAAACTAATGACAGTGACATTTTTGAGTGGAGAAAACTTAGTCTTCTGTGCTTTCTCTTTTTGTGCACTAAAAGAAGAGATTTTTTATGAGTTCACAAGTCGTTGTCATGTCTCTTTAATTTTTGGAACTAACCAATTAAATTTATATTAGCACTAAAATTAATGAACTAATCAGTTATTTATTATTTTTTAATATAAACATTAATAGTGATATAACTTTACATAATAAAGATAATCATTTCTCTAACCCAAAGTGCAAGAAAACAAATTATTTCAAAACTCTCATCAGATATGTAACAATGACATTTTATGGTTAAATTATTAAGAATTTGATCAACATATGTTTACTGGACAAAATAATCATTTAGAATTAATCAATTTTAATATTTAATAATAGGATATAATGCGTTATTAATATTATAGACATTTTATGATTATAGTTTTTACAGGTCATTTTAACAAATATGGAAAATATTTTATCAAGTATCAAATGAGTTGAATGAACATAATAAGTCATTTCTATTATAGAAAATATCAAAATTAATTTGAACCAAATTACACTATTTCAATTTTAACCATTAAATAAAATAAAATGAATTATGTACATATAAGTTTAGCGTGTTATGTGGGTTAGTGTTTAAATGTAAACAAAATGATATTATAATTTATAAAAATTATAATTTAATAATTTATTGAAATATTGTAATGTAATTGAATTAGAGAAAAAAGGAGACTAATGTGAATGATTTAACACAATTTATCTGATGGAATATTGTATTGTAACTGTACTAAAGAAAGAATGATACTAACTACAAAACTAACGATAATGACATTGTTGAGGGAAGAAAAATTAGTCTTATGTGCTTTCTCTTTTTGTGCACTAAAACAAGAGATCGTTTATGAGTTCACAAGTCGTTGTCATGTCTCTTTAATTTTTGGAACTAACCAATTAAATTTATATTAGCACTAAAATTAATGAACTAATCAGCTATTTATTATTTTTAATATAAACATTAATAGTGATATAACTTTGCATAATAAAGATAATCATTGCTCTAACCCAAAGTGCAAGAAACAAATTCTTTCAAAACTCTCATCAAATATGTAACAATGACATTTTTATGGTTAGATTATTAAGAATTTGATCAATATATGTTTATTGGAAAAAATAATTATTTAGAATTAATTACTATTAATATTTAATAGTATGATAGAATGAGTTATTAATATTATAGATATTTTATGATTATAGTTTTTACAGGTCATTTTAACAAATATGGAAAATATTTTATCAAGTATCAAATGAGTTGAATGAACATAATAAGTCATTTATATTATATAAAATATCAAAATTAATTTGAACCCATTTACACTATTTCAATTTTAATCATTAAATAAAATAAAATGAATTATGTACATATAAGTTTAGCGTGTTATGTGGGTTAATGTTTAAATGTAAACAAAATTATATTTTAAGTTTTTCAAATATAAAATTTTACAAATTATAATTTAATAATTTATTAAAATATTGTAATGTAACTGAATTAGAGAAAGAATGAGACTAATGTGAATGATTTAACACAATTTATCTGATGGAATATTGTATTATAAGTGAATTATAGAAATAATGAAACTAACTACAAAACTAATGACAGTGACATTGTTGAGGGGAGAAAACTTAGTCTTATGTGCTTTCTCTTTTTGTGCACTAAAACAAGAGATCTTTTATGAGTTCACAAGTCGTTGTCATGTCTCTTTAATTTTTAGAACTAACCAATTAAATTTATATTAGCACTAGAATTAATGAACTAATCAGTTATTTATTATTTTTTAATATAAACATTAATAGTGATATAACTTTGCATAATAAAGATAATCATTGCTCTAACCCAAAGTGCAAGAAAAAAAAATCTTTCAAAACTCTCATCAGATATGTAACAATGACATTTTATGGTTAAATTATTAAAAATTTGATCAACATATGTTTACTGGACAAAATAATTATTTAGAATTAATCAATATTAATATTTAATAATTGGATAGAATGCGTTATTAATATTATAGACATTTTATGATTATAGTTTTTACAGGTCATTTTAACAAATATGGAAAATATTTTATCAAGTATCAAATGAGTTGAATGAACATAATAAGTCATTTCTATTATAGAAAATATCACAAATAATTTGAACCAAATTACACTATTTCAATTTTAACCATTAAATAAAATAAAATTAATTATGTACATATAAGTTTAGCGTGTTATGTGGGTTAATGTTTAAATATAAACAAAATGATATTATAATTTATAAAAATTATAATTTAATAATTTATTGAAATATTGTAATGTAATTGAATTAGTGAAAGAATGAGACTAATGTGAATGATTTAACACAATTTATCTGATGGAATATTGTATTGTAACTGAACTAAAGAAAGAATTAAACTAACTACAAAACTAACGACAATGACATTGTTGAGGGAAGAAAAATTAGTCTTATGTGCTTTCTCTTTTTGTGCACTAAAACAAGAGATCTTTTATGAGTTCACAAGTCGTTATCATGTCTCTTTAATTTTTGGAACTAACCAATTAAATTTATATTAACACTAAAATTAATGAACTAATGAATTATTTATTAT